TAATATTTTTATTCATTTTGCAAAATAATTGCATTTCGAAAGTGGTGTCACTGAGTCTGCTGCGAGAATTTCTCAGAACGTGCTTATCCACGCTGAATAAGCGCTCCACGGGAGGTCAAGGTATTTAAACACGAAGTTAGCTGTGAATGCATATATATTGCACATTAATTTTATAAATTATAAAAACATAAAAAAATTTTTTAAACTTCATTTTTTTTTTTAGAAAGCTTACCGAGTTTTAGAAAAAAAAACGATTTCATACGACATTTCCGTTACAAATACTCGTACTGTTTCACTAAGTACTGTACAAGTAAAAGTACTAAATTTAAAAAGTAAGGAAGTACAAGTAACGACGTAACGAAGTAAAGTAACGAAGTACACACTTTTTACTTGTACCGGCGGTACAAGTAACGAAAGTACAAGTACTGCCATATATGATTGTATGTTACATGGTACAATATTCAAATAATTACAAGGGTTGAATAAAATAATGGAAATGCTTCTATACTAACTGGTTTTTTCATCTTTCTCAAGAAATACTTACAGGATTATTTTTAAAAAATTTGGAATTGTTTCAGTCATACAATTTCTCATACATATCAATAAAGTTTAAAGCTTTTAGAGATTTGAGATGCAAGCAAAAAATTACGTACAGAAAGAAAAGAAACTTTTTGAACATTCTATACCAGAAAAATATAGCGACAAGCTTGTAACTCTTGTCAATTACGTTGATTATCATATGAAATAACTGCAGAAAATATTGTAAACATAGCTTAAACATTCGTGAAAAAATTGACATTTTTATAAAAGCTAAATTTTTTGACTAACGTTTACTTATTATAACGACAGAAATATTCAATGAAATTAAACAAAATTTTTAAAGTAATTTCTTATTAATAATAAAAATATCATTTGAAAATTTGAAAAATCGTTAGACATTGCGTAAGTTATAAGTTTTTAAAGTAATATTTTCATACTGTGCGTACGCGAAAAACATTTAAAGGATTTTTTTCGCAATTTTGTTTTTATTCACACTTATTGTTTATTTGTTACTCGACCTACTCTATTTAAGGGCATACGAGTATAGATTCATAAAACATATATTAAACATACATAAAACATCAGAAATTATATAAAATCACAGAAATTTAAAATCACAGATGTCAGTGGCAACAGCCCGACAGAAAAAATACAACATTACAAGTAACAACACAAAAAAAGGTATAACATCAATGACATCTGCTAAAACTGAGCCATTATAAAAAATAAATAAATAAATAAATAAAACCCCTAAACGGGTCCTCACACAATTAAAAAAAATCAAAAGAATACAATACAAAAAATTTAAAATCTCAAGAAGGAATGATAAAAATGGTCCCAAAGTTAAAAAGAAACATAATAACATCACACACTAAAACAAAGGAATAAGTAGTTAAAATCATGACCTATAACCGGGCCAAGACAAATTTAAAAAAAACAATATTAAAAAATTTAAAAACAGAAAAAGGTTGAAAGCCCAGGAACAACCATCCAGCAGTTAATCTCAAAGTCTAAATTTAGTAAATTTATAAAAATAAGTAATAAAATAGTAAAACATGATACGGTTGAGACACCCAAATTAGAGGTCGCGGATTCTGAATTATTATTAGACTTCCTCTAGAATATCCTCCAATGTTTGTTTAATGATGGATTTAATTATACCCCTGCAGGTCGAGCTTGAAAAGCATTGAACTTGATCTAAATTTTGAAAAGATTTCCACGGAGTGTTCGGAATCTTGGGCAATGCAAAATCAAGTGGTCAACATTTTGAAATTCACCACAATAATTGCATGCCGGGGATTTGTTAAAGAGTCTACTTTGATGGTCACCGAACACTCCATGTCCCGTTAAAAATTGGTTAAAATAGAAGTTTGCCTGCAGTCTATTATGTTTTGGGTCTTTTATGAATTTATAAACCTGTCTACCTTTTTCAGAATCCCGCCAGTCTTGTTTCCATCTCCTATTTGTGTAATCTTTGACCATTGTTTTAACTTATTAACACTTATAAAAAAACCGATTTGACTATCTCAAAAATGTAAAAAGTTTTAATGATTTTCTAACTCCCGTTTATCTAATTTTATGTTGAGAAATAATATATAGTTAGACTTTATCTTAGATAGAAAGGTTGAGAATTGCGTTCAATAAAAATTCCCTTCAAAACACATTCAAAGACTATTATTAAATCATGCAATGTGCAAAAAGCAAAATATATTGCACAAAGCTTTACACGATTTTCGAGATAATTATATCTAAATTTTCGTGGAAAAATAATATGAATTTAGACTTTATCGTATTAGCAAGGTTAAGAATTCCACTCAATAAGAAATTACGCCCTAAACAAACTCAAAAACTATTACTAAATCAGCTGATATTGTATTTACCGGTAAAAAGAGAGTTCCAAAAGTCGATAGAGAAACTCCAGGAGTGATAAAAAAACGAGAGATATTACACAAAATACTAAGAGATTTATTGCGCTTTTCGTGATAATGACAATTTTTCCTCTTACTGAAGTCTTTATCAGCCGACCACTGTGGTCTACTGGTTACTGTACTGGACTGCGTTCCAATGGTTGTGGTTTCAAATCCCACCCTATACGCATGTAAACTCTCTTTACATCTATAGTATCCCCAAGATACTTTGAGCGCACCGATAGGATTTCTCGGCATTGTCTTCTGTTACGTCCTTTGTAGCTCCTCCCCAATATCATTTCTCCGTAGTTTGTTCACAAAATGAAAATCAATCATGAATCAATTCCAGTATATTTTTCATACTAATTTTAAGACAAATGTTAAAGTTTTGTTCAAAATATAAAATAGTGTCATTAATGGTCTTTTAATAATAACACATTTATTTAAATCTAATTTGCTTTAAATTTTATTCCTGTATTTCTCTTTACTTGTTTAAAATACTTCTTTGTGCGTTTCAGTACAATATTTTTTAATATTAATGTTATGAATTTCATTTAAATACAAGGTAAACAACCATGTATTGGTAAAATTAGTACAATTAAATTAGTACAATAGTGAATCAAATTAGTACAATAATAATTATTAAACATAAATTAACGCTTTATTAGCAAGCTTTTATGTAATAAATATAAGAATTGATTAATATTTAAATTGAATAGTATTATGAATCTTCTTATGCATTTATATATATAGAAATTAAATTCTCTAACTAAAATTTATTAAGTATGATTGCAGAACCATTAAGTTTGAATTTAATATATGAGATTTTAAAATGTATATAAATATTATTGTGAAATTATGTTTGATTATTTGAATAAAGATTTTATCATATCTTAGAGGAAAATATTATTTTATGGAGGAATCTGATCTCCGAGTTAATTTTTTGTTCAACTTCACTCGTTATAGATATTGTTGCTTGACAATTAGAATTTTTTGAGAAGCAACTTCTTTTGCATTTTTCGTGCGGCACTTTCATAAACTCACAGTGGAGACAAACAAATAATTTCCTGCAATTAAATAATAAAAAAAATAATTACAATCCAATAGAAGTGTACTAGAATTAAAATATAGAATTTTTTGTTACTTTATTCTTTCATTACTCATAGTATTAATTCAATGGTATTAATTCATGGTACTAATTCATAATCATTCTCTTTGATTTTGAGGGGAATTATACATCAAAAATTAATAAAATAAACAGCTTAAAAGATAATTGTTTGATTTCTTGGATGTCAAATAATAGTTTTTCGATATTCTAAAACATTTAACAAACAAAAGAAAATATTAAAAATAAGTTATAAGTAGGTAGGGCATAATGCAGATCTTTTAGTTTTATTTTATATAAATAGATGGCACCATTAAAAAAATGTTAAATTTGAAACCTATTTTAATTTTAGTGATTCCACAATAAATGAATAAAATATTAATTTCATTCGATACACATCAATTTAATTCAATAAATATCAAGTTAAAACTATTTAGTTTTCATTTCAAAGTGGATATAAAAATTGAGCAAGAAAATTAAATTTCGATATCAAAATTAGAGGGATATTAGCTTTATAAGAATTCATGCTTGTGATAAGCATAAATTTAACGAAAAAAGCATTTCCCTTAAAAATTAAATACAAAATTTTTCTTAAAATAACTAAACTAGTTACTTACCAACAAACAAATCTTTCTCCTCGAGGTTTCGAAGTTCTAGAATTCCATTTCTTATTTGTAAGTTCCCCAAATTCCTTTACCCACTTGATGCGATTTTCTAAATTTAGAGCATTATTTCTAAGGGTAATAATATTTGATGAAATAGCTTCTATTTCATTTTTAAATGAAGAAAGCAGTTTCTCAGGCAAAAAAAAAACTCCCATTTCAAGTTTGAAAAACAAAAGCTTAAGTACAAAAATCGGTCAATGTTGAAAATAAAAAACATGGCAGAATGAGATAGCCATACGTCACAGAAGGCTTCGCCGAGAAATCCAATCAGCGCTCACAAAATCTCTTGGGGATACTATAGATGTAAAGAGAGTTTACATGCCCCCTGAACATGCATGTAACTTTCTCTCGCTCTCCGTGTTTCCTTTTCGTGTTCCTTCGCCTCTTTCTACCTTTCTACTGCCTGATTGTAACCCGCCCTATAAGTGGGTTTTGAAGTTGTATGACGTGGGCAACACTACTCCACAGTCGTGGCTTACCCACAAGTGCCCACTGGGAAACGATAATTGAGTAGCAATTCTGGCACTTCCGAGATCAATGAGAAATAGACCCAAGTACCCATCATTAAAAAAATCTATTTCAGCATCCCTTTCAATTTGTCAGTTTCTAGGATACAATGTGTTGTTCAGTTAGGTAGAATCAAAGTAAATTTTATTGAAAACTTTCCCCTGAACCATTTTTCTACTACGCTCTGCAGTTATATTGAAAATTGTAGTAAAGTAGGATTTGGTAATGAAAAATACATAGTTTTAACATACTTACCCATCATAATTACAAAAGGTGAAGGAAGGTAATTCTGTTAGGTTACTGTTAGTTAAACGTATATCAACAACAGTTTCGTACTTCCAATAAAGTCGCAGGAATTCAGAAGATTGATAAAGGTATCCTACTATACAAGACAGAAAGACCAACGTAAGAACGCATTTCTTGACTATACTCTCAGCCAGAAGAATTTGCGGAACGCCACTCAGCATCGAATCCCGAAAAACATTCGTCAAATAATTGGAGCAAAATTTGTGTTTTTTCTTATTAACATTCCTGAAAGGAAATGAAATTAAAATATATGACTGCTACAACAAAAAAGTATCAAGATCAAAAATACAATGAAAACACAGTACCAAAAAATGCATCGAATAGTATTTTGCATAGCGATATAATTTTGCATAACGAACGAATAGTATTTTGCATAACGATAGTTATAAAATCTCAGACATTTAAAAGAAAATATAGATTAAAAAGATAAGATATTATAGAAAAAAGATAATATGGATTAAAAACAGATAAGAGATTAAAAAAAAAAGGAGAGTTTTAGAGTTGCTTATACCTAATTGTAGGAAAGAGTATGATGATGGCTTTTTCTTTTTTTCACTTAATACTGAATTCAAAAATTACTATTTAAGTGGAAAAAAGCACAAAATGTTTTTAAATATCGACCAATCCCTTTTAATGGTCAGATGCATATGAGATGATAAAGTTAAAGACAATGCTGAAGAATATTTTTAAAACAGATTTCTTGCTTCAACTGTGACTTTTAAATTAGCTACTGCTCGCAAATCTTCGTTTGAACCTTCCTTATTTGTGTCTGTAATCATCCAACATACTACTTTAACTCTTAAAATATTTCGAAGTATTAACAGCATTTTTAAAAAATAATTGTTTAAAACAATTTTGGGTACAATGAGGACTTTTCATTTTTAGATTATTTTCATTTTTGTCTTCATTAAACGTTTTAGGCTACTCTGATAACATATTTCAAATTATGATAAAAGTACTTCTTAACATTCGTCTTAGATAAAAATTTGTAATCTCTAATATTTTTAGCAATTTCAAAATACCTTTGCATCAAAAAATGCATGCATATAACCAGATCGGAAAACACAAGTCCGTATCGAGAACTTGATAATATAATTGCATTTACCTAGCAGAAAAGGATAATTAATCAAGTATTAGGAATTTATTTCTTTAAGTAATAAATTACAAACAACAACAAACTGGAATTAAAAGTGACAAATGATCACCAAACGATGAAAAACCAGTGAAGGAACAAATGTTCCTTTACTGTTTTTTTTTTAAGTTAATGAAAATAAAAGATAAACTTTAATTTTCTTGTACATTTAGTGATGTTCCGCATCAAAAGTATGTTAAAAATACGAAAAATAACTTCTAACCAGTGAGGGAGCAGGCATGTTCCTTCACTGGCCATAGATTTCCCAGTGAATGTACAGTATGTGTTAATATGTTGACACTTTAATTTTCAATTCATGATTACAAAAACAGTTAACATTTTCCAAGTATTTATACGTTATAATTTCAAGAATAGGTCTGTTTTTAAATATTTGTATGGCTTATAAATTCATAAAGAGCATTAAAAAATAACCAAAATTAAATGTTCCTTTACTGGGTGTTCATGCACTGGTAAGAGCTGTTTCTTCACTTGGTCTTCTTACTACTTGCTATTTGAACCTCCAAAATTTTAAAACAATATTATGTAAGTTCTCTACAATTTTTTTTAAATAATTTGCAATTAGTAACAAATATGTTGACACTGTCATTTAACTAAAATTACGAATTACGAAATTAATATGATNTTCTCGCTGTTCTTGTCTTTCAAGTTCTTCTCGCTGTTCTTGTCTTTCAAGTTCTTCTCACCTAATTCTCTCCTCCGTTATACGAGTCAAACACATCTTTACATCCTCAACCTCATAATGTTTACTAGTTTGAATTATTATTTTAATTTCACAAACATTTGCTTGAGGTGGAACAGATTCACCTAATTCGTCGGCCAATTCTATCAAATCTACTTTTTTCGCTTTATTAAGAAAAGCCATAATTTACAACTGATAAAAAACTACATATACAATCACTGACTACCTTAAATCAACTACTCTTACTATATCCCGCCGCTGCCACCGGTAAAATTCTGTTGTGTCACAACAACCAGAAATAAGACGTGAGATGTACCAAACAATTTATTTAAACATTCACACGAAAAATCACAAAATATTACCCAAAAGAAATATCTCTTGTCAGAAAAAAACTATCTTTCTCAACAACACAAAAAAGAACATCACTTCTCGTGTGTGTCTCTCAAGCAACATCATTTTAGCATTACCTCTCGAGGAATTGATGCTTTTAGCTCAGTTGTCACACACTGTTACGTTACAATATCTTCTTGATTTCTCCCCAGCACAATTAAAAGGAGAATATTTGCTTTGTAATTGGTTAAAAATAGTTCCATAGAATTTAACCTTCATTGTCAAGCTATCATGCTGTGACGTGACGAAAATCGTTCAAAATGTTTCAGCTGATCGAGCGGAAATCAGTAATTCGATCGAATTTTGATTTGATAGCAAAAGGGTCTGTGCAACCTATTAGGGACAAAAGAACAAGTTCGAAAAAGGAAATAACAATAGAGCGATAAGAAACAGGTGTGAAAGTTTTGGTGGGAACCCCAGTGTGCAACAGATTAGATCCAAATATATGAACTTAGAAATATTTGGAAACAGTGGGATGATGGAAAAATTATTAAATAAGTTATTAGATTTTTTCAAAATATACAGGGTGTTTATAAAGTCCCAGACCCATTTTGATGTTTAGTAACTCATAAAATAATAAAGATAGATTAAAATCAATAACATAAATGGTTAGATAGACTCAAAAAGTTTCATTTCCCTTGTCAATGAACTTCCACGTGTGCCCCTTTCGTTGCACGGAGAATATCAGATCTATAGTCAATTTCACGCCAGGTAGCGGCAAGCATATCGGCATCCACCGAGGCTATTGCGGTTTTCTGAAGTCTAATGTTCTCTGACGATGCATCCTTTCATGTTTCTGGCATTTTTAATCGCCATAATGTGCGCATATGAGGATCTGAAAATCCCCATTAATACCGTTAGACACGAAGGGATTCCCCAAAGGTTAATGTGTGATGTGGACTAATGCACGACCGAGTCATTGGGCCTTTCTTTGTTACCGAAAAGACAGTCTCATCAGTCGTATACTAAGACATGTTGGAAAACTTCGTATTTCCACAACTAGAAGAGCTTCAGCCACATGTCTTTTTGCAACTAGATGGTGTACCACCTCATTGGGGTATTATCCTTCGTAGTTCTTTGAATAACCATTTTCCAGAAAGATGGATTGGGCGAGGAGGTCCAACTCCTTGGCCGCCCAGATCACCTGATATAACGCCGTTGGACTTTCTTCTTTGGGGATTTATAAAGGACAATGCTTACAGGAGGATCGTGTCGAACATTGATGACCTAAAAGTCAGAATTACAACCGCAATAGCCTCTGTGGATGCCGACATGCTTGCCGCTACCTGGCGTGAAATTGACTATCGACTTGATATTCTCCGAGCGGCATGTGGAAGTTCATTGACAAGGGTCATGAAACTTTTTGAGTCTATCTAACCATTTTATTAATTTTAATCTATCTTTATTATTTTATGAGTTATTAAACATCGAAATGGGTTCGGGACTTTATAAACACCCTGTATATCGATTCTTAAAAATCTAGTCTTCCGAATCCAATAATTCGGAAGGTGAAGAGCAGTGTCGAATGATTTTACTTGAAGAAAAATCAAACCATTGATTTGAATTCCAACTGCTTAGAGCTAGGGAAGATCTGTTCGTATCCTTATTTAGAACGTGTCTTTCGCGTTCTTTAAGTCAGAGATTTAGGCTACATTTAATTTTTCCAATATACGCAAGATGAGCTGCGATGTCTCAAAGGATAGAGCGTTCACCTTCCAATGAGGTGAACCGGATTCGAATCCCAGTGGTGGCTGGTCTATACAAACCTGCATCCAGCTTGCACCGACCACAGTGCTGACGTGAAATGTCTTCAGTGGTAGACGGATCGTTAGAGTCCCCTTGCCGCCAGGTTAATCATGAGAGGCTCTCGTGGTCTTCCTCTAATGTAACGCAAATGCGGTTTAGTTCCATAAAAAAAGCCCTCCATGAAGGCAAAATTTTCCCGATACTTGATCCAGGAGTTCCCTTGTCTTCTGGACTGGGTTCAAAATTACAAGACTACGGAGTTGAACATTAGTAATCGTAAGCCCAAACATTGGGTCTTCTTTTCAACGACATTTTTAAAATATAAAATATACAGCAAGATCAAAATGACACGACATTTGACGAATTTCTCAGCTATTAATATCAGCAATAGGGTCTTTAAGATTGGTGAAATTTAGTTTATTTGGAGGGAAAAAATTACCTTAACATTAAACATACCATATACGGCCGAAAGACCGGTTATTGCATATTGTAGTCCAGGGATGGCGAACCAATGGCACGCGTGCCACTTATGGCACGCGACACATTATTTTGGGCACGCCACTTATAACAAAGTTCACTACGAAGCATAATAGCAATTAAGTTAAAATTCACAACAATAAACAAAAAAATTATTAACAAAAAAATTTATAATTAATGCCAAAAAGAAATTAGTAACCATAAAAAACAAGCTAACTATAAATAACCATCAAAAAGAGATTTAACAGTCCTGCTTAAACTAACATCTTACAATCTAATATAAGTTATTTGTCATCTAATCTGCAACAACAGAATTCACACTGATGTTACTTTAAGTTGAATTACGCTTCTAACTGAGACACTGCAAAATGTTTTTTTTCTTTATAGCAATTAAAGAGTTTTGATAGTATTTAGTATTATTATTTTCCCAATAATCACGAGGTCAAAATTAATTGACGGCACGTCTATGACCTCATTAAACAATTTTTTGAAAAAAATGGCATGTTGATGCATAAAGGTTCGCCACCCCTGTTGTAGTCTATTGCTAAGTGTTGGTATTTTTAGTGTTAAACTCAAATTTTTCCAAAATCCTAGGAACTGATTTTCAGATAAGGTAAAACAATTGAATTGCTGTTAAAGTTCTATTCGGAAAGTTCAGTGGATTGCGAGAAAAGCATTTTATTTAAAGAATTTAATTTGACATTTAGACACTGAAGTAGGTGCTTGTTTGCAGGACGGAAATTATAGTATATCAATTCATGTACTTTCATTTGTACTTTATTAGAGCTGCTTTTTGCTTTAGTCTAAATTGAGCAATGTAGTGACATTTTCGTTGTTGAGTTTAATAGCTCTTTTAAATCTTTGAAGTCTTACTTTAATCTCCTAAAGTCTTACTTTTTCCTTTTTTGATGATTTATTCTGTGCACTCGAGTCTTTTTAATAGTGAAGTTTCTAAAAGGAAATTTCAGCAAATCGAACGCTGTACTCAGGAAATCAAAAACTGCAACTAGAGATATGCCCAGCCACATTCCGACATAGCCTCCAATGTTACCAAAAAGTTCAATGCTCTAAAATAAAATAAAGAAGTTAAACGCAATTATGGATAATTATACTTTTACAACGAATCAATTCTTATAAAATTTTACTTTAATAGAAATGTTGATCGTATTTAAGAAAAAAATTCCTATTATAATCGTGAAAAATAGTTATTTTTAAAAACTGTCGGAAAGAAAGTTATAGAGACAAATTCGAAGGCGATTAATTCAGCACAGAAATATGTATTTATCGATGTACTATCCAATATGGACGTAATATCCGATGTACTGTTCGATGCAATATTCGATCTATGATAATATTTAAAATTAGAAAAATTCATTTGCACTATAAATTTTTTTAAGAAAATGGCCGAAAAATTAAATTTTTTATTTTTTTTTAAAATTTATTCTATATTGTATTGTATTGTATTGTATTGTACTGTACTGTACTGTACTACACTGCACTGCACTGCACTGCAGTGCACTGCACTCAATTTAAATTCGAAGGCGATTAATTCAGCACAGAAATATGTATTTATCGATGTACTATCCAATATGGACGTAATATCCGATGTACTGTTCGATGCAATATTCGATCTATGATAATATTTAAAATTAGAAAGTGCACTGCACTGCACTGCACTGCGCTGCACTGTACTGTACTGTACTGTACTGTACTGTACTGTATTGTATTGTATTGTATTGTATTGTATTGTATTGTATTGTATTGTATTGTATTGTATTGTATTGAATGAAAAATGCCAAACAGGAACTTTTATACCTACAAAAAAAGTATATTCCTACTAGACTACAGTATCAATAACATGTTATTAATACATATTTTAATACATGTTTTAGTACTAAAAACAATCATCAATTTATAAAATACGAGAATATTAACTGCTTGAAAACAGAAAAAGGCCATTCATTTGTGACCTTATTTGTGTCAAACATCTTGAACGCATTATTCTCGACTTTCGAAATAAAATTTGATAAAAATTAAAGATGATTATGAAATATATGTATAAAAACTTACTTCAATTTTAGGACTGCAGTTATATGTAGTTATTTCCAAGTTGCTCATATCAATATTAACGTTAATCAATTCCCTTAAAAAGAAAAATAATTTTAAAAAAAGCGCAAAAATATAAAAGTTTACTGTAATAACCATTTTAAGTAATATACATTTTTTTAATTCAAACATATGATAGTATTACTAAATATATTGTATTAATTAAATCGGTTAACACTAATCCCTCAGAGTCTTTACCCTTTGATAAATTAAAAATTTTAAAAGATATGATAAAATATCTCAATTTAATGTGTTTTTTTTAACAAAAAACTAGTTGAAAAATTATTATTTGTATAATTATTATTATATCGCAATACGAATAGGTGTAATTATTGAAATTTAGAACAATATTCGAATCGCTTAAGAGTTCTAATCCTTTTGCCAAATAGTACCAAGTGAGGGTTTTTCTTTAAACTTTAAATTAATCCTTAATTAATATTACTTTTTTGAAGAAGAAAAAAAAGCCTAATTACGAGCAAACAAATAATTTTAACTCAACTTTCTTTCGGCGCTATTTTTTCTTCCCCAACTTTTGTTATTCATTTTTCTGTTATCTAAAATTCTGCATTCAGAAAAAAAGATTTGCTTTTTACATCTGTTGTTTAGTTAAAGTATTTCGAACATCGATACTGTTGAATGAAATATTATCATTATTTTTAATTTGAAAAAAAGCCTGGAGAGAGTTGCGAATTGATACTTACTATAAATGAAGTAGTAAAAATAACACATGGTATTAAATATTCTTTCAAAAATTTAAAAGTTAATAGTATAGAATTTTAATATAATTGTCTCCTTGACTGTTAAGTTAAATTTTATAGATTTTTTATTTTCTTATTTAATAACCGTCGTTGAGCAGACGGCCCAATTTTTTGGTTCTTACGATTACTAACGTTCAACTCCGTAGCCTTGAACCCAATTTTGAATAAGCTAGAAATTTTTTATCACATTTTATAGTCTCAGAAATGCTAAATCCGCATAATTATCTAATATAATAAAATGTCTTTCTTATAAAGTCATTCGTGATCCTTTAATTTGGACATAAAATTCAAGCAATAATTCTTTCATACTAACCTAGAGAATCGTTCAAAATTGGTATATTTATTTACGCCGCACTAGAACTGCACAATGAGCTATTGGCGACGGCCTGGGAAGTATCCCTGAGGATGATCCAAAAACATACCATCCCAATTTTGATTCTCTGCAGAAGGGATGGCTCTCTTGCTTTGGTAGACCGACGACTTGCGCGCGAATTCGAGTACTTTACGGTAGAACAGTTTAACGAGGATCGATACCACGCACCCTCTGTCCCTACGCAGACTAATCAAAGTGGTCACAAACCCGCTTATGATAGCAACCAGTGATGCTTGACTTCGGTGTTCTACTGGGAACCATGTATTTACTATCAATCCACTGCGGGACCGTTCGAAAATTCGAAACAAATTTTTCTCATAGGAATTACTCATTGTTTAAATATAAACTGCAGTACTTTTTTTTTCTTTCAATGTTTTAAAATGTAACAATAGTAATGTTTATAGGTCTAATTAATCATGAAAAGTTTATTAAACGTTCTCTTAATAATTAATACTCTAAATACATTTTAGCAGGTAAGCTTAAGTAAAATCAACACGAGTGGAGACACCACAAAGTATTTTGTAAGGTATCTGAATCGCACATATATATTTTGTTTTGTGCTTTTGAAACGTGTTTCTATACTATGATGAGTTATAAACATAAAGACTGAATATAACTTATCTTCATCTTAATAAGTTGAGCATATAAGAAAGTTTTTTTCTTTATCCGTAATATAAAGTCATCGGGAAAAGAAACAAATAAGAATAAAAAAATTGGAAATTATTTTAAGCTTTTGAATAGTTTTGGTAGATTCTTTTCCATTTTGTGCGTTGTTGTTTAGAGAGAGTGCTGATTAAAAAATATTCATTCCAGCTACCCGTGCAAAGATCTGTAATAATGCGTAGTAAAATACAATAATAGGGAAGGAAAAGTTTTATGATAAATTTTAAACCATGTGAAAAGACGATTTTGACACTGGATTTCGTTAAAGCGTAGATTAAGACAATTAGGGGAGAGTCAGGTAGCCCTGCCCACTTAAGGAGTATTGCTTATATTTCTGTATAATATTGAGTAATAATCAATATTTTTGCACGTTTCTATTGTTTTATAATCTAATTAAATATTGCAAGAAAAAATAAACCAAAAAAGAATAGTTTAACTTAAAAAAATAGAAATTTAAAAAAACATGTTTTTCAGCTCTTTTCAAAATGTGTCGGGTGGCCCCACCCAGTTACAAAAATTATGTTTTTTTACTGTTTTTTCAGGTGTAAATGAGAATGACCAATGTAATGACGATAGATAAACCTCATTTATCATTTTTATCACAAAATTATTTTATTTATTACATATTTATATACTTTTAGTGAATTCCATCATTTAATAACAATCATTTAATAACAACAATATTTGTTTTTAAAAATGCATATAACATTTAAATTTGAAGGAATAAAATAATAACCTTTGCAACCGTACATTTATCGACGAAATAAAATTGGGCGGTGATACCCGACATTCATGTGAGTGGGACTACCCGAAATCCAATTTTTTCGTAAATTTGTATTCACTCGAGCAATTTTTCACATATAAACTTCTTTCTTTGTGCAAATTAAACTTAAGACTACATACTTTAATGCTGGATGTACAGAAAAAATAATTTTTTTAGTATTAAAATGAAGTTTAATCGAAACATTCACCCAATTTTTCTTAATTTCATGACTACTGTATTCAACATATTTTCAAAATTATTGTTTACCATGTTACCAGCTACATAAATACTTGAAACTTTGAAAATTATATTTTTTTAATATAACAATTAATGTCCGATGGCCCATTGACTTGAAAAAATATTCTACAAATATGAAATTGACAGTGGGCGAGGGTACCCGACACTCCCCTAATTACATTCATTTCTATCACCGAGATTTTTAAATATTTTTACAAATCATGTCAAAAGTGGGATTTGAAAAATATACACAATGGGGTTCGGAAAAATATTCTATGACCATAGAATCATTAAAGACATATTCGGTTGTCTGATTAATTAGAAAATGCATAATGATTAGGCATAATGATTTGAAAGTATGTCTGTTTTTCTGCAATTATATTATAATTTTCTACCCGTAGTTTTTATGTATTTGACAAAGTTAAAAAAAACATTTAATAAAAGTGGTGATTGCGGATGGGATCTAAGAATATGAAATATTGTATTTAAAAAAGTATATCTTCTTACAGCCTTTTATCTAGATCAGCTCTGCATTTTCCCTGAAAAAAAAATACAAATCTGTAGCAAAAATAATCTCTCTAAAGAAAGCGTTTTTTAAATGGTTTCAAGAAAATTAAAAGTATAATTATAATGTAATCTTGTACAGTCGCTGGTCAAATAATTAGATGTACTATAATATTCTATGTTAAATCTTAATTATAATGGGATACTATACAGCATTTTTGTTCGACTGAAACCGTTTTGTATTTGTTTATGTTCGTGTATCAATTGGTTAATATTGTAATGCAATATGTTAAAAATAAATACAAATAGGAAGTATATAAAGAATCTCTTGTGTAAAAACCCTTTACATGTATGCTTAAACATAAAAGTATAGCATATTAACTAGTTCAAAACATGTAACTATTAAAAAACTGCATTATTTCTAATATTTTGGTCTAATTTTATAGTATACTAGTATTAATACTTGCTACAACAAATATTCTATATTTACATAATATATCATCTACATTATCCAATTGTCGAATTTAAATTAAATGTCGTCTAATTTAATCAATTGTACAATCCTTTTGAGGATTGTACAATTGATTGAAAAACAAAACGGAATCACCCTAAATAACTTTTGTTTTAATGGTCGGATTTTCACTAACCAAGTGTCAATCTTAATGGTTTCTGGGGGTGACCTCAGATATGTAATTAATTAGAGCTAACTATTAAGTTACGAAATCAGACACAAAAACGTACTTTCTCTGAATAAACATGAATTTTTTTTTAAAACATTTGGATTTTTAACCGCAAAATATAGGGGGTAGCCGCAATCTGGGAAATATGGTCTCTATAGATTGGTCAGAACAGGAATCTAAAGTTCGGACCCCTCAATGTAAATTTCACTTTTCGCGTTTTTAGTAATATTTTTAAAACTAATCAAGCAATTCAAAGAAAATTGCACTCACTTATAAAACCCATTAACCCAAAGATAATTTCACGCAAAAAATAATTTTTAATGATTATTTATTATTTTTTATTATTTAATTTCAATGTGGATAAAAAAATTTTGAATTATGAGGTATAAAATTTGTTTTATATCGTAATAATCTACGCATTTTTCTATATCAAAATTTAAAGTTTCAACAGTTTTCATACGGTAGAAGCCGAGAAAAATTGAAATTAACTATTTTTAACAAAATAATTTGGCGACAATGAAGAAATATTTAAATTCGGTGATTAATCTTTAAATGTGGTTAACTTACGAGGACTTGATTTACGCTAGCGCAGAGTAAAATTTCATTCACATATTTTTTCTGATAACCGAAGGCTAATCCTTTTTTTAAATTATAAAATACACGATGTTTTTGTTTTTTTTTAGTTTTCTAAAAATTTATTCTTAATTTAATAAAGAGATTTAAATAAAACGTTTCATTGAATTAAAACATTTTATTAACGAATGTTGAGTTTTATAACAGCATGTTTCTGATAGAATGTAATTATATACCAGCTTTTTTATTTTAATTGTTAGTTTATTCTTTTAATAATTGATACAATTTCAATAATATATCAAAGTATGCTCAGATTTGCAGTAATATGCTAATAAATGTTTTCAATATTTATTTTATAATTATTAATACGAATGCGTAGTCAACATTTTCAAGCATCTTAAAACTTCTTTACATCTTATATATCGCCTTAATCTTAAAATAAATTTGTAAATTACTTGTCTGCGCGTGTTTCGCAGAAAAAATTTC